TCGTCCACAAATCATTTAAAAGCGTAGTCTGTTTCGTTAATAAGGTTTGTTGAGGTTAACTGATTTCTACTAAGTAGACCTAAATATTGTTAGCAACGATTTCGGGTCAATTAGATTCTGGTTCCAACTAGCTTTTAATTTTAATCTTCGAAGCCCCATTTATTCTTGTAGTTTGTAAGATGCCCCAAGATGACGCAAGGCACATGAACAAATTGAATAATTGTCCTTTTAGGACAGATTTTAAGTAAAGCAGCAATTCCAAAAAAAGTAAAATGTAACTATTTGTTGTTGAAGTGATTGATTAATATTAATTAATTACTATACATACATACTTATATTCATATTTTAAGAAATAAGTCAATCTGTTTCTTAATAAAATTTGCGTTATTTAATTTGATTTAAGTTTAAAATAACAAAACCATGTTTAATTTTGAGTATAACTTTATAACTGTGGAAGTATTGGCGATATTCGGTGGGTGGGAAAGGTATAGAGAAATTGAATGAATTCTTATTGCCTACGGACTCGAAGAGTCTACTTACCAAGTCAGTGCAGTTCAGTTATTCTTCTTTTGATTAAAAATGTATGACTATGTTTCCTACTTCTTCTGTCTGTTACATACTCTGCACAAAACGAATATAGCCTTTTTATTACCCTTCGGGTACAGAGTATAAAAAGCCTGTGCAGTTCAGCATGGGGTGTTAGCCAAAGACCGAGACGACTGACAATCAGACAACAAGCTAGTCATAGAGATGGGCGCCTTGGCGTGACGCACCAACAAGCCATATCCAAAGAGTTTTTTTTTTTCAATGTTTTCAAACCAAACAATCTGCTAAAGGATTAACAGTCAGTAAAAAATAAAGCACCACTTCCCTTTAAAACCTTGTCACATACTTCATTAAGGCTTCATTTGTATCATCACTTCATTTACACCATCAGTGTTTGTTTCTTGACCAGGATTCGCAATGACTGCTCAATGAGCAGCGTGTTAAGAGCAATTTGAGAACCCTGCTTTTGGCTTAAGACATACTTAGGCAAAAATGAATTGTTTTTGTGTTTTTTTCCTATTTGTTTGGTATATCCAATGTTCAAAGTTCAAAGCAGTTTCAATTCTTCGACGACTTCTCTATAATGAGTGGTTAACCTTCCCTTTAGTAGGACTTACTTCAACCTCCTTGTAATAATATACTTTCAAAGAAACTAATTAATGTTCTTCATAAGTTTAATGTAAAATTGGAAAAAAATAAAGCTGCATCTTTAATCTAAGTAGTCTGCCACAATACAGTACCCATTTGTACTAATAAATTTAAGCACAGGATTTTTTAAATTAAATTTTCTTTTTTGCCTCTTCATTTCAATTAGAAAAGAATATTCGATGTGGGCCAATAAAATCTCCATCTCTATTTCAATTCATAATTATGTAACTCTACTCGCATGTACAATGTGAATGGAATGAAGTAAATAAGCTAGAAAATGGCACCAACACTTGGAAGCGCTATTGATAATTTTTTTTGAAATTGCTGTCTGCGAGCAGCAGGCAAGGCCTTTGTAGCAGCGCAAAACTTATACATGCGCACGCCAACTTTTGTCAATATACTTACGTGTATGTATTTGAAAGTATGACCGATTGCATATGCATATATTTATATTCGTAGGTTTGCGTATTTAGGTTGCGGCTGTCTGTAAGCAAAAGCGGCTTATTTATGAGACACAAATCTTACTTGCCAGCTTATGGCACGCAAACACGAACCAAATTCAATCGTATGCCATGTGTTGATATATGACACGTAATCAAATGTTTAATACCAATGCACAGACAGCATGTAAGTCAAAATAAATATGGGCGCATTAAAATGCTGCAAGAGGCGCAAGCAAAATAAAAAAAGACCGAGACCTATAACAAGCAACCAAAATGGAAAGTGAAAAGGCGGCGGCAACAATGGAGGACGAGACTTCAAGGAACACATATACTCGCACATATAGTAAGTATATAGACACACACACATACTTACGCACGCACATGGTCGTAGCGAGGGGATGAGTCCGAAAAAAAAACATTTTTCGCCATGTAATGGGACTGTACCCAATATTAGAATATAAGGTGTATTAAGAAAATTCCAAAGTAATGATTATTTTAAATTTGTTTATTGATGTGCTCAAAATATAATGACGCTTGAGTGATTGCTTCGATTACAAAAAAAAAATACTATTTGCAGTCGCTGATTATTTTCAGGGACCTATCGCCCCAATATTAGCGAAATAATTGCACGCATATCTTTTTTTCATGCTATCAGACCAAACATCAGTTGATATTTGATTTTCAAAATGTTTCCAATAAAAGGTCTCCTTTATATGGTGATACCTATTATATTTCTATTATAATAACAACAAAATATATTCACCATATACTTATTTCTTGATGTAAGTTTAAGGGACAGTTTGAAATAATTCCAAATTTATTCTAAAATTATGTTTTAATAAATACATTTAATTAATCATTAGGGAATGATAATAATTTTGAGAGGCGCACATAATTGATAAGCCTTAATAATTTGTTGTGGAGAAACCGTTGCTGGTTTAAGGATAGGGGGATCCTTTAAGAACATGGGTAATACCGTTGAGTTGCTTGTAGAGAACTACAGTGGAATACGTACCAGGTCGTTAACTCTCAACATATTTAAAAAAAAAATAAGATCTTAGCTACGCCCATGTCCACAAACACACACACACGAAGACCGAACAAATCCGACAAGTAAATATAATAACAATAAAATGAAGCATGAATATACAACCAAGGCGAGATATTATGGCAGAGCCAACAATAAAAATTGTAACGTGGCCGAGAGAACAACAGCAACACTGACAGACAGGGCACAGAGCGCACTGAAAGCAACGAGGGCAACAGCAAGGACAATTGCTGGCAACAACAGCAACAACCACAGAGATGTCAGTGCAGCCCAGCCGGGCAGCTGCTTCAGCGTCTGTTTCAGGTCAAGAGCGCATGAAGACAGCGAGAATGAGAACGACGGCTATGACGACTACGCCTACTTGGCATGCAGCGTCGCCAGCACTTTTCACCACTTCCCGCACTTCTCAGCGTTCTCAGACATTGTCGAGTTATATAAAAGCCAATGTATGTAAATATAATACGCGTAGGCCGCTGTATATTAAAAAATGTGTTGCCTACTTTTTGGGGATGTGTCTGAGCGTATGCCATTTCTTTAAAGAAAATAAACTTGATGTCAGTTTTATTTAAAGACTTAATAACATTTATTATTACATATATTTCTGTACGCCTTTTTGCACAGCTGCACCTTAAGCCTAACACACATTTTTTTACACCGACACACATTTTTCTCTCTACAATTTGCTAAATTTGAAATATTTTCGCCAAATATTTCGCATATACATACATATAAATACTTGTAGGTATATGTGCTTAGTATAAACAACAACAAATTTTTACAATAAGCTAGTTGCCTTTTTAGGTATGCATTCTACATGGCGAATAAGTACAAACTAAGATTCTACAGTAATTGAAAGCAACATATGTCATTTGCTGCGTATTTACATGAGCTTCTTGTTGCTGAATAAGTATACAAGTCACCATAAAGGTACATTTTTCCAATTATTCGCAATCATCCACAACATTTTTTTCTTTGAATTTCTCTACATTTTATAACTTACAGAAAGTGTACATTTTTTATGGAATTTGTACAGATCTATTTATTTTGCCTTCCTTTACGATAGATCGGGTTTTTATTTATTCAGATGATTTTTTTTCTTTTATAAAGATAATTATTTTTTACAGAATAATTTTATGGAGATGATCCAAAAATAATTTATTAATAAATAATTATGCTTAGCACTCATTGATATAATACTTTCTGTTGATTTCGATTTTTGCATATAAAGCGCATATACCATGCAACATTTGTTTTTACTAGTCATAGCACATCTGCTGATAGGACAGGAGATAAAAGTCTGCAATTCAGTAATTTTATAATCAGAGAAATGTTAAAAATTAAATTGATTGTAGCTTAGAGTAGAACTCAGTTTGTGTTAAATTGTATAATTACCCTTCCAATGCTGTTTATTAGAGTTATATGATCAGGTGCTCGACCACGAAGGGATATATCGTAATGGAAAAAAGATGCTAAAGATAGCTACCATATGAAATGCAGTTGTTTATAAAATTTAAATTGTAGTCGAAATGTTCACACAAAAAATGTCATTGCCATAGTTCTGCTGCAGTTATCCAAACAATAATATGGCAATACCATTTAATTTAGAGGCCACAAGAGCACTTGTGTTGAAAAATCAGCTCTATTTGAATTAAATTTGATAAATGCTATCAGATGCCTTTCTCTGTTCAACATAGAACACATTAGTGGTAATAAATAGGTTCTGGAAACATACTGCTAGGCGTTGTTTGTATGACTACTAGCTGATATATCGAGTAACCAGAACATTTTTTTTTTTTACATGTAACCACAAATGTATATTGTGGAATTTAAGAAGCTGTAAAAAATCACACAAAGCTGTGTATGAAGTTGGAGGAGAAGTACAGACTATGTTAAAATATTAACTGAGTACTTTCATAAATGTAAATTTCTCAAATGTTGAGGTGGTTTTATTCCTAAACTGTTCCGAAAAATGAATTGCATATAGTGAATAAAATGTTTATGCATCAAAGAATTACAATTGAAGAAATAAAAGCATAGCAAAGAGCCCATAAAGATTATGTGCAAGAACCCAAAACCAGACGAACTTCAGTTAATAATTTCGATTGCATTGGAATGCAAATAAACAATCTTCTTTTGCAAAAATTTTAATGTAACATGAGCTGCAATTGAAAAGTTGGTTTTTATTAAAAGGCTACTCAATGAACGGATTTAAATGTGGAATTTGTGTGAAGAAACTAACTATCGTTTTACTTATTTTCTAATTGACAATAAAACATTTTCACTTAATCTATATTCCATACTTATTTTTTGCCATTAATACTTAACTAGTTTGGATATGCTCTCAAATATGCTTACATTCTTAATTAGTACTTTGCTAATTTCTATTGAGTTTTAAAATGTAAGCTTGTGTACCACTGTTGGGCTTACGCATGCATGTATTTTACATAACTTGGCTGGTACAGTTTTGGCTTTACTTCACCCATCTTAACTTACTTATTTTAAGTTTATCATACCATTTTTTTATCATTTAAAGATTAAGTTATACGTTTTTTTGCCGTTATTTAGCCACAACTTTGAGCAACGGCTTAGCCTAATTCTCTTGCAACTTTTCATTTACTTGATCGTTTGCCCAAAGGAACTACAAACATTGCTGCCAATAATACTATGCAACGGAGAATTATGTAATAGGTACTACTCTGGTTCTACGCAATAACTTACACATTTTGTTTCTAGCTGGTTTCCCCTATCTGCTCTGCATATATTTTCTACAAAAAAGAAATGACAATTTGCTTGTCAATTAAAATGAAGTTTCTCCACACCGTCTTTATTTTCTGTTGCTGATTTGTCGTGTATTAGTTAATAATTGCATCCCAAACAGTGAAAAGACAGCGTTGGCAATATTTGAGGAAAGTTGAAGGTAGTAAGTGTGTCTATATTCATAATTGCACATGTATGTATTTACTCTCAAAGCTTTACACATTTACATAACAAAAAAGTTAAAAAAAACATTCATAACAAACATGATCTAGGGACCAAAATAGAGTATTTGTTGCACAGTGGCTAGCTGACTCGGCTTCAAATGCAGTTACAAATACGACTTATATATATATATACAGACAGATGAGTGACACTAAAGTTATGTTTAATTACCCACTCGTTCATGGGTCGTATACGTAATATGATTTTGTATCAAACGAAAAACTTACCAAAATGCACAAAAAGAAGCTAAAAATTTAATATTTACACAAATGCAATAATAACCAACATTTTCTGATTCAATAATATTCTCCACCTCTCTGCATCTGTCCGCCCACTCTCTGTCCTGTGGCTCTACCTGTGGCTCTATCTGTGGCTCATCCACTGTCATTGATTGGGTGTGCCCATCAATACATCTTCGTTAATTGTTATCTGCTCAGCACCGCGTAGCTTAATTTGGACGACAAGCAGTGACGTTGTTGACAGCAGCTGTGCGGGTTTGTGGGCGTGTCTGAATCGAATCGACCGCTGCTTCGAACCTCGCCGTCCCATGAAACGCAACCGGCGCTACATAGAAACGCTATTAACACCGGCAGCGCGTAGAGGGAGATGCGTGCAATTGATTTTGACGCTAATATGGATGACAAATGCGTCCAGCTGAGGGATATTGATGGCCGATCTATGCTCGAGGCGCCTGAAGCTGCAGCAGCGGCAGCGGCGGCGGCAGCAGCTGCTGAGGTGGCCGCAGCGGGACGTCGACTTTTCTTGAGTTGTTTGTCTGTGGCTGCGTGAGAAGATTATGAAATGGTAGCAAAAACAAAAGTTGCGACATGTCAGAGATTTTGTAAAGTTCGCCTGACAATTGTTGCTTTATAGTTAGCCAAATGATTGATGAGCTCTTACCCTCCAGTGATTTGTCCAGCAGGCGTGATTTCGATGCCACTGTCTCACGGGACTCCAGGACGGGAATGCGCTGATGTTTATCGCTCTCGACGCTCTCCTCGTTACTTTGCCAATAAACTGAGGAGATTTTGGCGACACACTGCATGGCGGAAAGCGGAAAATATAGAGAGGGGAGTGAGCTTCAGTTCTGTCAGCAATTGTTCACTAATTTCTATGCTTGCCACATAAACCAGATTTGCAGAACTACAGCTGCAGCTATAGCTGGAATCATGCCATAAACGTGGCTCGTTGCTTGTGACCCTCATCCTATTCACTGACACATGAAATCTGGGCAAGAATACACAAGCACACTCAGACATGGTTGATGGCCACGCACACTGACGTACTCTATGACAGTCACTTACATTACGGTGGCTGTGGTGTCAACTGCTCGCCGTTACGCTGACGGCATACTAAAAGTTTTATACTTTCATTAACTCCTACGCGACGCAAATAACCGAAATGACCCGCATATGCATATACTCGTAGAAGGACCGGACAATGCGGGCGTGGATCGTAAAATGCGCCGAGCCACATGAAATTTTGTGGCTTGTCCAACACACATTTCCACTTGCACACAAACTCTTATTGCACAGTGGCTGCAAGCTCTGAGATGGCTGATAGCTTATCGTGATGGGCAATGCCTGCATGTTATACAATATTCATGATCTTTACCTCACTAGAACAATTTTAATACAAGCAATACACAATTTACATTAATGTAAACTTTCAATTTGGGCTTGCTAATGAATGAAATATAATTTAAAAGCTAAGATAGCTTATGTCTAACATTCCTATTAGCTCATACTATTTGCATCAATTTATCAGTAAAATAAAAGGAACGCCAAATTGAAGGAAAGATATTTCAATTATCCTTAATAGTTCTCTGATAAGATCAAATGTTTTCGAATGATTTTAATTTGTTCTGTTTCCCTGAATTAGAATTACCCCTAAAAGTTCTATTCAATTAAAATATTGATCATCTAATAGAACACTTTATAAGCTTTACTTATTTAAAGGGACCTGCACGTTTATTTCAGATAATATTGGTAGATAAGTTTATCTAAATTGAACACTATGGTTATTCTTGTATGCTATAAATATGAAAGGAAATAGCTGTTATAATAACTTTCTATGGTTGGCTTGCGAAAGCAATAAATTTATTTATTTAGAAAATACGACAAATTAGCATTCGTAGAATTACTTCTACCTTTTCCCGCACAACCAAATTTCAGCAATCCTGCAATTAGGCCTGTTTATATATTTGTGCGCTTTTTAAATCTTTCAATAATATAGTAAATGCCAGGAGTGCTAAACGTTACAGTGCACACTTCTAGTTGTAGTCTTTCTAACCCAAATTAAAGCCTGTGAGAAGGGATGACAGCTTTTGGTGATCAATTTAAATAAGCACAGGTTCCGGATTTCCTTAAAATCTTAATATCGAATCAATTATTGCAGAGCTAGTTTCTATTTCGGCCCCACTGTGCATGATAGTCTGTGTCCACGCGTGTTTCCTCTGATAGTAATCAACATGAGCTGCCATGTAATGTCGGTGAAAATTGAATAAAAACGGCAAGTAAATGTATCAATTTTCATGGCTCGGACGATGCACTGGGCATGGTGGTGGCCATTGCTGCTTAATCAGCTTATGGCAGAGAGTTACTCACCTTCAACTTCATGTCGCCATGCTTGAAATGTCATCCGCGCACACGAAACTCCAGTCCAAGGCGTGCCACCTCCAAACCCTCGCGGCCCACAATCAGTGGCTCATAGGGGCGCAATAGCGACCGATTGGCATGCACCCCGTTAATAAGCCAACTGAGATGGCAGACCGGTTTCGATGCGGCCGAAGTGCAGTTGACTCGCACCATATCGCCGATTTGATAGCGCGGCTGTCCGCCAGTTATTTGCGGCCCATGCTTCGGTGTCACTGCAGAGGTAGAGAGAAACCGTAAAACATGAAATTGAGAAGAATCGTGATTCGTGGAAATATTGCGGGCGGAATATTTATGTTAAGACTATGTGTACACTCAGAAAATTATATTATCCACAAAACACCAAGAAATTCATGAAAACACAATATTTTAATAAATAAATATAAATAATAAATATTCGAGGTTGAACGTTTTGTTACAATATCACATTAATGAAAATTATTGTAATACTAACAGCAAAATTAATACATATAGAAGAGAATAAAATATTTAAACCCCTGAAAAATAAAACAATTACTTCAGACAAGACTGAATAATTGAAATTATCGAAAGTAGAATCACATTTATAAAAAAAATTGTTGTGCATCATTTAATTTAAATAATAAGAAAGTTAAGCATACATTTTGTAAGTTAATCAGTGAATCAGTAATATAACTATTGAGTGAGTAAATTATCTTTAAAAGCCTAGTTTTTGAAAACAAAACTCTACTACTATAATAGAAAAGACATGAAAGGGAAACAAACATGAGAATCTAAAATAAAATCACAAAAAAAATGCCGAAAAATTTAAAATAAAAACTCGATCAAACACAAAAGAGTAATTTTCAATAACCTAAGGCGATAATAGAAGCCATCCATAGATTTGGGCGGTAATTGTTTTCAACGCTTGAGCTTCTAATGCCTTACTTAGCTCACGTTTATAAACATTCATGTTAATTTTCCACTAAAAAGAAACGACTTTTGAGTGTACTGTTCAATACTATTCAGTTTTTTTAAAGCTGGTGCCTGCATTGACTATTTCACACCCATTAAACCCGCCTGGCATTAAATTTGGCCACGGCTCTGGTCAACATGACGTATGGGTGTATGAAACAAGTGTTGCAGCCTTTTAGGGGCGCTTATAAAAATGGCCATACAAGAACAACAGTTTTTGTTGTTTGTTTTTTTTTTTTTGTACTCGTACTTAGTTTCGTGTGCCATTTTTCGACATTGTTGTAATTTTCTTATGCTTGTTGCAGCTCTCTATTGTAGCTGTTGTTGCCTGTTGGCGTAGCATGAAAAGTTGAGCATGGCCAAGCATCATGTCTGACCTGGATGTTTGCCAATTGGGTCAGCCAGCCAACCAGGCAGCAATTTGAGTTTGAGTTTCAAACCAAACAGCAGGGAAAAAATCAAAATAAATCGTTGCACTACCAATATCGACTGCTCCCATACGAGCCAACAATGTGCGCACACACACTCATCACACACGCAAACACACACGTGCCACTTTGGCTACATGTGTGTGTCTGTGTGTGTGTGTGTATTGTGCAGATTTTATACGCCCGCTGAAATGCGTGCAAATGGCGCACGACTGGAGCAGCAAGTGCGCTTCATAGTCGAACATCGACATTAAATTCCATTCAAAATGCAGCGCAATTTCGAGGCAAACAAATCACGCATTTAATGTGATTTCAAAATTAACCGAGCTTTCCTTAACCATTTGCGCTTATTGCGTCTTTTTTCTTTTTAGCGTCGACTCGTTATTCCTATTTTCTCGTTGCTGGCGGTCACGTTGATAATGATTTTAATGATTACGATGGTATTCATATTTTGCACGACATTCCTATTAAAATGGCGTAGTGTTATGAATAAAATAAAATGGGAACGAAAACGAAATTGCTGTTGCCTTTGTTCGTCGCTTGCGCTCTTTTTTCGCGGTTCATCCCCCTTTTTTCATTGTCCAGCGCAACTGAACTGCATAAATTATTATTATTCTCTGTGTTTTATTTGGCGAGACTATTTTTGTGCTTTCCCGACATTGATTGAGCTGTTTATATTTTATTTCATTGCCTGTTGTTGTGTCTGCCTCTCCACAGGCCTTCCACCTCACTCACCACAGCAGAGCAGGGTAGAAAGATTTTGTTTTCTTTTTGGTTGCGCTGTTTTTTGTTTGCTTATCGATTTGTACACAATAATTGTTTGGCATTTTAATGGCACTGTCATTATAGTCGTTTGCCCATTTGATTGTTTGTTTGTTTGATAATGTGAACTTGGACTTTGTACAGAAGGTGTCCCTAAATGCTCGTTTTGTTGGCAAACAAATCATTGACAAATGTAGGCAAGAAGGTTCACTGAACTTACTGTTACACCCTTCTTTTAATAAATTCGTACCGTATATTTAAATAGTTTGTTTATTATTAAATAGCCAAATATTTTCAATACAAAAAAGAAAATTCAATGGTTAGGCAAAAAATAAATCAATTCCTAAAACATTATATTTGCTCAAACTGCCATGCTTTATTTTAAATCCGATTAAAAATCAATTCAACTCAACAACATTTCAAAATATGCTACTTTCAAACTTGAGCGAAATACATTGTTGAGCGCAACCTAATAACTTTTATACTGTAGTCATTATTGGAATGCATTTTTCAATAACTCCCGATATTCTGCTTTCTGGTATACTTAAAATTAATAATTATTTGGTGGGAACTGTTCCAGGTGTTACACCTTCTTTATCCGTAGTTCGAACTAATTAACAAAAATACAAATTGAATTAAATGAAGAACAAATATTTTCTGCATTGCTGGTCAATTCACTTTTTCAAACAAATATGTATATACAAAAGCTATATATATTTAGAATTCCTCTATATTGATGTGTTGAAAAGGAACATTTGCAATTATTTGAATTTTATTTATTTATGTCGAAGCTACACATTTTCAAAAAATTATTTTACTCTCATACCTTTCTATTTTATTTTAATTGTAAATGTACCTCGTTTCTGTCCATCGCCATTACTTGTTTCAGCTATACACGTACATACATACAACGAACTAAGTATTTAGGTCAAACACACAATGCTCTGCCTTTACGCCCACTCATTTGCTTCCAGTATACTACATATACTCTATAATCACAATCAATTATTGGCAACAACAAATAGCCCCCTCATAACCTGGAACTGACGCCGCGTGCACATTAATTTCAATATTTATGTAATTTAAATCAAATAACATTTTTCCTGTAACGAATTTTTTCTGTTTTCCCTTTTTTTCTGAGTACTGCAACAAACACCTGACAAGGTTTGCTGCCGTTGTCGTTATATTTTCATTTTGTCGCTCTGCCAGCAATTCATTAACTTTATTGATCCGCAACAGTAATAGTCATTATGCTTTGGATTTAATCCGCTTAGCTGCAATAGCTGTGCTCTCAACACACATACTCGTACTCGTACTCGTACACACAAACAAGTGAGTTGATTTCGATTTTTATGCGACGACAATGTCGCGTAATGGCAAACATTAAAGTCGAGCGTAATTTAGTAATTTCCAGGCCATAACGGAAGCGTGTAGTTCTGATTGCTGCAATCGAGCTCACAGGGAGGGGATTTCGAAAGGCAAGGAAATATTTAGTTAGCGTAATTATGCGATATGCGCCATTTGATTGGCAGGCGCGTCTAAGTGTTGGGTTGCGGAAATGAAAATGAAATTGCCTGGGAGTAGCGCCTGATTAACACACTGATGATACAGATGAGTGATAATCATTAATGATGAATTTATTGTTGCTTATAATGATGCCTGTTGTTTGGCTTATTATTATTATTTGGGTCAACTTATTGTTCTCATTAATTATATTACGCAATGTTGACTGGTTTTTTGCAGCACTGGAATAACATTTTTCTCTACGAAAATAATAACTGACGCGAATGCCGACGCAACGCAAACGCGGCCGCGAAAGCTGTTGCCAGAGCCGTTGCGGCTGTTATTAAACACGTTTATTCTAAGTTTTCCCCAAAGCACTTTTTCATATTGCGTTTTGCCATATTTTCGCCATGTTTTGTTGGATTGCGGAAAAATTTCAAATTAAGTTGCAGCGAGGCAAGCAGAATCAGCCAGTGGAGTCAGGGCTGGCCAAAAACAGGAACTGGAACAGGGGGTCGGACATAAGTGCGACCAGTAAGTGAGCAACAGAATTGCATCACGTACATGGGCAATTTGCCAGCAGAATAATACACAGCACACACACACACACATACACATAAATATGTATTTATATATATGAACACACACACAGCTGCGCAGACAACCCCAGTACGTGTGTGAATTGTTTTCGTCGTTGTGTTAGGATGTGCAGGTTGTTGAACGCTCATGAAAGCAGTTGCCTGTCTGCGTAGCCTTGCACGCCTTTTTCGTTTATTTTTTGGCACAGGTTTTATGCTTGGGAATTTGAAAATCGCAGCTAGAAACAATGCCAGTAGCAACAACAATAGGAGCTCTTGTATAGCAGAAGCGAGGCACAAACTAAATAAATGTGAAAAATACATATCTACATACTAGTATAAGTATGTGCATTCAAACTATATACTAAACTTGTACTCGTATCGGTGGTCATTTTTTAAATACAAAGCTACTCACAATGCACATTTTAAAAATAGTAGTTGCTGTATTTAGTAATAATTTTTTATTGAAATTAAATGGACTGGTGAAATTATCTTGATAACTATTTTAATATTCTTAGAACGTATACGTAGAATGAATTTATTGATATTTTATCGAAAGCATTCAGTTCTTCACCGTCTTAACTGCATTTATACATACAAATTTAAAAAACTTTTAAGGTAAATTAATTCATTTTTTATTAAATGTTTAATCTGGTTCTATTGAACTTCTTCTTCAAAATGAAAATGAATTTATTGGATTCCGTTTACGGCTGAAACTTTTCCAATCTATAGTGAACTATTTATAAAACAGCAAACATTGAATATGACCTTCATCCATTTTGAAATTTGTAAGAGTCTAAATCAATTAGATAGTCAGCGGAATCAAAAGTAATTTAAGAACTAAAAGTATAAATTCTCAAACACATTAATTTGTTGGAGCACTCTACCACCAATCGATATAAGCGATATGTCCATTAGTATGTATTACAATATATTTTCAGTATTTCGATTCAGATTTAAAATAAATGGACCACAAAGGTACAATAAAGTGATCTGATTCTGTAGGCGGCTAACGATTCCCCGTTTGATTTTGCCTCCGCCAACATATAAATCATTCAAGTTAGTGAATTTCAATGTTGTGGTTTATAAAAAATAGTTTGTCGGGGTATGTAGATTTGTTTTTGTTTCATTTGCTTTGGAAGAATTATTTACAATGAAAATAGACATGAATTAAAATGCTTTTTATCTGGCCAGACAAGCCTACGCATGGCTAAAAAATAATCGGTCACTGCGTCAGAGTCAATATATATCTTGTAAATTATGTATCTTTAGGTGATATTCGGAACTTTTTAGTCATTTTGTGTTTTCGAAAAATCGTTGGCCCTAAGAAGGACTGGATATATATTTTCCAAGCTCCAATGGAATAGAATTTAAATGAAAAGGGGAACACATTTTAGTTGTTTGGCACCCAATATACAGAACTCGCAACAGACTAGTGTTTTAAAATATTATTGCATTTCTATGGAATGCTCGCATAAGTAATATTACCCACTGGGTAAGTAAATATTAATTTATATTTACAGTAATTTATTAAAAACCGTTAAAGGTTTGTGTTAGGTGTTTTTCGCTTATTTGCTTATGACTTGCCATATTGGATCAAATTAAATAAGAACAAATAAATGATCCTATTCAGCTGAGTGGTACTGTGCAAGTACGTATGGAACTACTTGTGTATGTATGTATGTATGTGTTTATGTAGAGTATTTATTTTATGCCGCGTACACACAGTCAAAAGAAACAGATTACTTTTCGTCGTTGCCGCTGCCGCAATTAATCTTCTTTGTGTCGAGACAGCGACTTTTTTGTTATTTTTCTTGTCACCGTCGCCTTTTCTGCACACTTACCCACAACAATCATGTCCTCGTGACCGGAAACTGTCTGAAATGAAGGCGCTTCGCCGGACACTTCGCAGCGATAACGACCCGTCGACTGCAGACTCACCGAGCGCAGCACAACAACAATGTCTGTGGAGTTTTGTAGCTGGAAGAAAAAATAACACGAATATCGAAAACAATGAAAAAAAGGTCATATAATGGTTCAAGGAAATTATTTAATAAATTTATGAGCAACAACAAATTTGGCGAATAATCATGCAAAAAAAATCATCATCATTTGAGATGCGCCACCTGCGCCCATTAAACCATCAGATCGTTAAGCGAGTACGCCTCGGGCTGTTCGGGCAATTTCAATTTACTCTTGACCTGCTGCTCATCAGCATTGACGCCCTGCTCGTCTGCCTCGTCCTCGTTCTCACCAACAACCTCGTTGTCGTTGTCCACTTCGTCTTCGTCCTCCTCATATTCGTAGTCATCCTCATATGCTTCCTCAACCTCCAAATCATCTACGTCTAAGTCATCTTCCTCGTCTCTGCTTTGGTCGAATTCAACAAACACCTCAGCCATTTTTGTAAGTTCCTTATCGGTCACTGGGAGCACTTTGTCCAATGCCTCCGGCGATGTATCCATATCCTTCATGGCCTCCAGCAACTTCCTGTCCAGAGTGGAAATTTTGCCCTCCATGCTGACACCTCCCTGCCGCAGGCCCTCCTCAATAGGATGGCTAAATGGCTGACGAATTGCATTGGCCATCATCTTAACTGCATCATCCTGATTGAGCGGTGGCACAGACTCCTCCAACGTTTGCAGCAATTTCGATTGGCTTTTCGAGTACATTATTTCTGTATGCCAAAAATGTAATCAAAACCAAGCACAGACATTCTGTCAACTGTTTCATGGCCCGCTAGATCGATATAAATCACACTCTCAAAGCCACTACAGCCTACACAAAAATATTTTGAATATTTTAGAAATTTTACTTATTCCATTAAATGTTTTAAAACTAATTTAAATAAAAGCAGCAACTACAGCAGTTATATATAGAGGCAAGAATAAACGAAACAGAGGATCAATTTTCTTTCTTAAGATGGCGATTATAGCTTGTAATTGTACTTTGTCGACAAAATAAATACACTTAAAACAATATTCTTAGGGGTATCCGAAATTCTCTATTTGTTTTTGAATACAACTTTATAGTCGCTCTGGTGAAAGATGCACCCTTCTTATCTGAGCTTAGCTCACATTGATTGATATGCCACAAGAGCGTATCAAAGAAATTTATTAAAGTACAGGATATGAAGAGGAAATGCACTGCTTTACTTACCTCGACGTCGACGCCGGGCAGCGGAAATACCTGCCCCGGTGGCATATCGCGCGGCACATAGCGATAGAATTCGAAGCCATCCTTGTACCATTTCACTGAATACAGAGATTCGCCGTCCAAATCGAATTTACAGCCTAATACAGCATCCTCGTGTCGCATAATGTGCTTAGGTATGCGTATCTCGGTCATTGTGAGACCTTGTGTTGGCACTGAAATAACCCAGAGAAAAATTTAAAGTTGCAGCTACTAAAAGACACTTTAAAAACTAGAACTATGCTAAAAATTGAACAATGTCTGGTGCATTTGCAGGGCGCAGCCACAAGTTTTCAATGCCGACACACACATCTTGGCCATAAATAACTTGCAGCGAGTGCAGGCAAGAGTCAAGGAAATGGAAAGAAACTCGCTGGCAAGCCTCAAACAATGCGCTTTTGTTTTCAGTCCCGCGCACAAAAGCGAAAGTATAGTATAGTATGGTATAAAAGGCAGCCAGGCGGCCAACTATTCAGGTTCCGCATGGCTTCATGTGCATCAGAAGACAACGTAAATCCCACCACGCAGAAAACAAAAGCTTTTTCTCATACTCCAGTTTTATCAAAGTGCATATATGGACGTACGCTATCAGCATAAAATAAAATAATTTAAGACAACTAGTTATGTGCAGCTGATTAATGAGTCAGCGAATCATATCAAAAATATGTATTTCATTTTTCTCACGATTAGAGTTAATAACTATTTAGCTACAATACCACCTACGTTTTATTTTATTATTAAATATACTTTCTTATATAAATTATAAACAATTTATTTCTCTAACATGCTTAAAGCCAATTAAATATTTATCTATAATTCTCAGATAGATAATTTTAAAGTCAATTCCTAATAATGATGCTGGGGGACAAAATTACGTGATCTAAAAACGATAGTGAAATAAATAAAATATGCGCAATAAAGTTTAATAAAGAAATTAGTTAAATTATACTCAAGCTTATTTAATTCGCTATAAATGCCAAAGAAAATTTCCCCAAATTGCCACTGCCCTACTTCTATTCCCCTAATTCTACGTTCATTGTTGAACTAAATCTGGCGATCGCAGAATATTTTATATTTTACGATATTATGGCACCTTAAAGGTGTTGTATTTTTCCGGTTTTGTTTCAATTGAAACCAAGGACCGCAAATATTGATTATTTTGTTTTTTTAAAAGAAAAAATCATTCGCTCATAGTAACTTTGGGAAAGCGAGGAATTTACTGATATCCTTTTTAAAGGATTATCTATGAAATTTCACCATGATTTATAAATTTTATTTTTTATTCATTCGCTCACAATTTAATGATTAATTTTGAGTTTTACTTTAAAAATTAACCAATAATCATTATTGATGAGCAAAAAAATAAAACTTATAAAATAATGATTATTCTTTGAGTTTTATTTTTTTGATCAAAAATAAAACTCAAGCTGAAATTTTGTCTGTTTCATAAGGATTAAGGACAAAATATATATGTATACTTAATCAGTGAGCCAACATTTTAATTAATTTTTAATTAACTAAATAATTAATTAATCAATTAATTATTTTTAAAATCACAAATATGTATGTAACAGGCAGAAGGCGGACCCCACAAAGTATATATATTCTTGATCAGCATGAAAAGACGAGTCGATATAGCCATGTTTGCCTGTCCGTTCGTCATTCTGTCCATTCGTCTGTATAAACGGAATTATCTCACAAAAGCTAGAATAATGATTATTCTTTGAGTTTTATTTTTGATCAAAACAATTTTGTCTTTTTCATAAGGATTGTTCGGCTTTAAGCCGGTAACTTGCCGGTATGGCAAGAGCAAATGATTCACAATCTTTATGTAAAAGAAAGACGGTGTCGTTCTATGCGCGATTTATTGGGCTAAGAAAAATAACACTCGCACAGCTCGACTTCAATATTACAAGTGTGGCTTTAATTGTAGGGAAGCTACTAACAGTACAACGGCCCCCGCCGTAAGCTCAACATACTTGTAAGAGCGGCAATTGCAATTATGCTGCTCGCAGGCAGCTGCAGTGTATGACAATTTTCTCTTAACTACTAATGCGTTGCTTTCAATTATAATTCTCTTAAATAATCTTAAAACTAAGTGAAATGCCTTTACAAGGATTAAGGACAAAATTTATATATATCCTGCTCGAGGCAAAGATTTTTAATTAATTAATAAATTCTTAAATTCACAAAAAAAAAAATTAATTTATTTAAAATTTTATTTTTATTTCATTAAATATTAACTTTAACTATTAATTGTTTAATTTTACAAAAAGTAGTTTTTGCAATCTTAAATCCGATTTAAGGGCAGAAAATGCCGTTTCGACACTCACTTGCATTGCAGGGACAGAGTGCACAACTTAGCCAGATTGTATAAATTCAGAAACTTGAAGTTTTTTTCTTCCCAGTACTGCATTATATTTATGCTTATGTCAGCTGGTTTGGGGTTATATTTATCTATTTTCAGATAAGCTGTTTGTAGTTTCTTGTCAAATACATCATCTTCTTCTTCGTCACCTGAAACTACCTCAATTGAATTGAAGAACTCATTAAAAAGAGAGAAAAAGTTCAATGATTACAGTCCCTGATTGAAACTCATTTTATTTTAATTTTATGTTGAATCACAAGAACAAGGTACTCCAAAAAATCAATTGCTTTAACAGCAGTTTTAATTTATTCTGCTTGAAATAATATATATTACTTTACAATTTCCACACAACAATGGCAAATTTTATATTGAAAATGTAATGTAATCTTATTTGTAGTTGCGAAGCTGGAAACATCAAAGTTGAAGCCTGTGTTAACAATACATGATAATTATAGCCATGAAGACTTTTCTGAAAGCAAATAACAAATGTTCCCATACACACACACATTAATAACACGTGCCCTATCTCGTTTGCCAGTAAAAATGTCTCGAAACTGTGCCACTTAAGGGTTCTCACATTCTCGCAGGCACATATTCGAGGTGTTGTCTTACGGCATATGTGCGAGTATTTCCTCGAAATTGTTCACATTTTGAAGTGCGTCGATGTGACAGTCACTAAAATTTAAAGGCATTTCCAAATTTAAAAAAGAATGTTTCTTAAAAAAAGAAGTTATCAAAGTAATTCCTATATGTAATAAAATAAAATTTTAGGAGACACAAAAATTATTTTAAATAAATACAGTGTAATATTGTCTTACATACATAACCACAACTTTTTGTTAGGCCAAAGAAATTTGTTATAACAATGATAGAAAAAAAAAACATAATGAAATTCCTTGAAAAGAATAAAGACAAAACAATATGAAAAGGTGTATTTAATAAAATACTTCAAAAAGCTAACTACATATGTATTTAAGCCCTTTCACCTCTTCCATACAAGAAGTACTTGTATTTAGCTTGCTCTGCCAACAAAACCAGATTTTTATACCCTGTACCCAAAGGGTACAAGGGTATATTAGTTTAGTGCGAGTGCACATGGAACACACAGAAGGAGGCTTGGTAGACCCCACAAAGTATATATATTCTTGATCAGCATGACAAGCCGAGTCGATATAGCCATGTCCGTCTGTCCGTCCGTCTGTCCGTCTGTCTGTCCGTCTGTCTGTCTGTATGAACGCAAGGATCTCCGAAAGTATAAGAGCTAGAATAACCAAACTTGGTATACAGATTTTCCTGAGACCGAGAAAGGACGAGTTTGTTCATTTTTTCTGATCCACCCCCCCACTCCCCCCCTATTAACGATTTTCTATAACTCCCGTAATTCTTGGAATTTTGAACTAAAATTTGGCAGTCACATTAGGTTAGTAATTATATAACCGTATACCAAGTCTCATTATGATAGAATGATCGGAAAGAAAGTTATAGCCATATAACCAGGCTCAATGCACACATACATACATATGTACAAGTACACAAACACGCATAGACACGATTCTGATGTAATTGTAAATGTATGTATGCATGCATGGAATATTTTATATTTAATTAGTTAATATTTAGTTAATTAATTAAATTAATTTAGTTAATTAATTAAATTAAATTAATTAATTAATTTAATTACTTTTTTGTGGGGTGGTACAGGGTATTTAAGAGTTGAGCCTGCTCGACTTTAGCATTCCTTTCTTGTTTCTATTTGCCACCTTTAAAAGTTGGTTTCTTTTCAACGCTTATATAAGCCACATTTTTTGAGAACTCAGCTGAATAGATAAGAAAATGTTTACCAATTAACTTTATTTACAATGTAAAAGAAACTTTGATGTTGATATATTGATGTTTGGGGATATGTGTGTGTACCATGCACCGTTTTTGCAAACACAGCCTCAAATAACTATGTGAACATATTATTGTGCGTTGAAATTTGTTTAAAGCAAAAGGGGAGCATTTAATTTTTCCATACAAAGCGGCGACTTTAAAGGCTTAAACTTTTTGTGCTTGTGCTATTCCTTCGGCGGCTACAACAGGCCACCGCAAACAAAAAGTGCCACCTACAATGCACAAAGGCAAACAGCCGCCATTGCAGCGGCCGGCGACAACGACGCCGCAGCTATGGCAGCCAGTTCTTGCCACAAGCAAAGCGCAAGTGGCGCCGCCAAAGACCGACACGATCCTTTGAGTGCATTTCCGCTTGGCACACAGCACCATTTGTTTTCTATGCGTATGTGTGTTGTTGTGGGTTTGTTTGTGTGTTCTGGGCCGACACTTTGTGCAAAATATTTATAGCATAAGTATGATTTAGCTTTATGCTCTGTGCCCTCAACTATGTATTTTGCGTAGAGAAAAGCAAGCAAATTGCGTTTAAAAAGCAGCGCACAAAAGTATGCATGTATGTATGTATCACTACCCACCAGGGCTGCCAATTTCGCTTCTTGCCCGTCAAATCTGGCTGTTTTGTAAGGCCTGTTGCGGGAAAAAATGGAGAATTGCGGGAAGCGGGAATTCTGCATTTTTTAGAAATGTGTTTGACTTTTTCCCCGATTTTTTTAATTTAGTCACCATTCACATATAAACTATAAAAAATTGGCGGTTCATCAATATTTTTATCGATATTTGCAAATACCCCTACTAGTTTAGGGCAAATTATCATCTCCTTTGCATAACATAGTGTTAAATGTAAATTGTAAAATAATAAAAGAATACACCTAATTCTGTTTTTACACGGTGTGAAAATTAAAAATTGTATATATTGTT